TGTGGGGGGGGGGGGGGGGCGGGGGGGGGGGCGGGGGCCGCCCCGCGCCCCCCCCGCCTCTCCCTCCGCTTCCCCGCCAGGGGTGCTTCAGGGCCAACGGCATCACCGGCCGCCGCCTCATCCTGGCGACCTGCTCCAGCCTGCCCGCCATGGGCGTCACGGACTTCGGCCACATGCAGGTGCGGCCGGCTGCGGGGCCCGCAGCTCCCTCCTCAGCCCTCGGAGCCCAGCTCTGACCCTTTCTGCTTGCGAGCAAGCTAGGCTACAGCCTGTCTGCCCAGGCAGATTGCTTATTCAAAGAGTCAGCCTGAAACCGAGCAACGAAATTTGTTCAGCCAAGCAGTTATATTTCTCAAGTCTTTTCAGGTATAAACCCTTAGCCGGCTGGAGGTGGCAGGCTTCCCCTCTGGGACACCATAAGTGCATCAGAAGTGCTTAGCCTTTCTGCTAAGCCTATGTTGCTCCTTTTGGCCCATGAAATTGCTTGGCAGGATGCATGCGCCTTTCTTAGGTATACCTCAGAATGTCTTTTCAGTAATTTTCCACTTACTGATTTGTAGAACTTCTAAAAATCCAGTCAGATTTAACCTGCAGCAATTGAGCCACCGATCTCACGCAGCAGAAGGGCAGCTCAGTATTACTTCCTTGTTTTATGCTTTGCTGAACATGAACAGCATCTCTGTCTTTTCCTCATTTTATAAACATGTCATTGGTCATTTTCCTTTCAAACCTGCATCTTTCCTTTAACAAACACTGATAGTTAAGCTAACTGGACTGAAGTTTGGGGCTACAGTCTGGCCTTCCAAAGCTTCCTGAAGGTTCAGAAAATAAGAAAGTTGACTTAAATTTCATTACCCTCCTTCCCCTCCCTAATGGAAACCACAGAGGGACTTGGGGCTGCATTTGCAGAGCCAAATCGTTTGTTTCGCATCATGATTTAAAGTTGCTTTCCTCAGAGGACCCAAGGTAGAAGTTCAAGTAACCAGGAAGAAAGAAAAATCTTTATGCTCCAACGACTGGAGTATGAACACTGTTTGTTTTATTCTAGAGCACCAAAAAGCAATTTCACAACAGTTCTGTCTGGCTGCACAATCTTAACTGTTTGTTTGAAACAAAATATGCCACCAAAAACACTGACTACTGCCACGACTTTGCCTGCTGGTTGGAGGAGAGGGCATCAAATTACAACGCTTAGTTTTTCAGACAGTAGCCCTTCAAGAACATTTCTAGTACAAGCAGATACAGCCTTTATAGTCATTTGCACTTACCAAAGATGGCAAGAATTTTATAGGCTTTGTAACCCTCACCCTCACATTGGGATATGGGGATTATGTGTGGTGGTAGTTTAACTGCTGAGGAACACTAAACCAGGGGCTAGAGATATCAACTGTAACCCATTCTTCCTCCTGTAGAAACTGAAATTCCTCAGGGCTAGGATAAGCGATAGCCAGCGTACTGCAGCAAGCTGGGAAATGAGACTGCCTCTGTAATGTTTTCCAAAGCTTGCAACTGAATTGGGAACATCTCACAGACTTCAGTGGAACCTAGATGTTCTTGAAGATCATGCCCTGTCCTGACAGTTATTTGTGTTTGAGAGAACTTTCCTCTGATAGAATCCAAGCGTACAGAGCTCTGAGCAGGACGTGGCCCTTTGAGTCTTTCCGGAACTGTGCACCAGAGGAGGTGCAAAGTTAAGGCCATAATCCTGGGCACATCAGCTTCCCAACAAGAAATATCAACGAAAGGCTGTGCGCAGGCCAAACCGAGATAGTTACTATAGAAATAAATGTGATAGCATCAGCTCAGTGAGAGAGAAACTTTTTGCAATTTAGGGGAAACGGCAGTTTGGTAGAGAACTACACAGTGAATCATGTGGAAGCTACGCAGCATGGACAAGTGAAGTTACTGCTGGTTTTAATTCCACTGTACTGATATTTTAAATATCAAACCCATTGAAGATACTAGTCCAGTGTTCTTTTGGTATCACGCAAAGTAGGGTATTGCTCTTCAGAGTCAAGCCAAAGTTGGGGGAAGGTTTTGAGCAAATGCTGTGAAAGATCAGTAAAAGCTTGTGAATTGTATTTCGAAGCTTCAGTCAAATCAGAAGGTTACATTCTCAGAAGTGACTTCAAAAATAATGGCAAGGCTCTGTTCGCTGACAGTTCCAGGTGCAGCTGGCTCAGACAGCCAGTCACCCATCATTTGCTTAATGAGCAATATGGCTTATTGGTTTAATTAGGTTTTATACCTCTTCTGTGTATAGACTCTGTTGTTGACAATATAACTTAGCAAACAGCAATGTTTTTGCATTAGGCAGAATAGACTCCAGCTCATTCACCCATAACTTGCTTGTTCTGCAAGTGGAAAGAGGAAAGCAGAGCTATTTGTGCCACTGAGAGACCAGATGCGATGCCACCCCCCCCAGTAAATCTGGAGAATGATTGGTCTGCTCCGCTTTTACAATGTCACATGGGGCTCATGGGTTCAGATCCCTCTCGAGTTGCCACTTCAAGTGTGAAACTGTTCCAAAATTCAGAAATTCAGTTCTTTTTCCTGCTGCTTTGACACAGAATGAATGGTATTAGCTGTTACCCTGTGAAACGAGAATTTCTGGTATTTTGTCTTGTATTTCAGGAGATTTCACGCCACGTGCGAGAGTTGCTGGGGATTGAGGAGCCTCTCTTCAACAGATCCATTGCCCTCCCATACAGAGACAACATGGGTCTCTTCTTGGAGCGAAAGTCCCGATCAGGAAAGAAAGCAGATGCCCTCACTTTCTCACAGTTTATCCAAGAAGCAGGACTGGAGCCCTATACTACAGTTCCTCCTTTGCAACGAGCCCAGACTGGGGTAGAAGCAGATGCTCTCCCTGTATCGCAGGGCACCCAGAGGCAGGATTAGAGACTCACACTGCACTTCCACCTTTGTAAGGGGCCCAGCAGGGACAGCAGGATATACCTTTAGTACCTTGCAGTTTGTCCAAGGAGGTACAGTTCCACTTTCTCCTGATTATAGAAAAGGCCATTGCAGCTCTTAGGCATTTGATGACAGCAAACATATCCCCACATTGGGTCTTTTCTGCAATCCTTCATTTGCTTCCAGGAACTTAGTGAAGCAGAAGCTATAAATTGGACTGTACCACGCCTGTCTTTCACTTCTGCTTCACAGTTGATTAAAAAGACCAAAAAAATTCATAGACGTATTTTAATTACCAGTGATTGGTAACAACTTCCCTGCAGCTCAAATGAATGGTTTTCTCTTGGGCTTTAGCGTCTGCAGACTGGGCTCACTGTAAAGCCCAGGTGCAAGATAAATGGCATATACAATAACTGGTATACAGGTGTGGTGCCAGCTGCTGTCAGCGATCGTAATTAAGTGAGGGGCCTAGTTACAATGTGCACAACTAATCCTTGGCCTCACCACAGAAATGATTTCCTGTGATGATTTTTGTTTCCTGCAAAACCAGGCAGTGGTTTATCATAGCAAACAGTACTGAAACACATGACAGATGACAGCAGGAAGTAAAAGAGAATACTGTAAGCTGAACTAGAGAATTTAGGGAATAAAAAATGCTTTGTCCTGGGTAGATTTGGACAGAATATCCCGTTACCTTGTTTTTCCTTGAAAGAAGTATCACATAGTCTGTGGTGGTGGGGTGCATTATCACCAGCAAGGAAGTATGAATAAGTGCTGATTAAAGCCTGGCTCAACAGAAAGAGTGCTCCTGACTAAATCATTACTATTTTGTCTGGCATCAATGGCTTCCTTGAGATCCCCCATGGAAAAATAAATTTAAAAAAAAAACATGACTGGGCCCAATCCTGTTTAGTTGTTTACGCCAAAGCTGTAGCCACTACAAAATAACTGTAATTTGGTTTTGTAATTCAGTTTTCTATTGAAACTGCAACAGAAACCCAGTGTAGCTGAAGCAGTTCGTAGGCCAAGATGACTATGTAATAAGCAAATTCAGACCAAAGTAAAGCAAGACTCAGGCAGTCAGGGAGGAGAAAGTTTGCTGAGAAGCCTAGAGAGCGAAACTTGTAGAAGCAAATGTGTGTGTAGGTTACTGGCTGGAATATTTTAAAGAGTCCAAGAGCGAACAGTGCTGGTTCTCACAGCCCTCACACACCATGATGGGGCTGGGATGAGATCTCAGCAAAGCATTCTGCCCTGGGCTTTGTTATAGTTTACGAGGATTTAGTATCATAGTCAGGAGTTTCCCCTGGAGTTTCTGAGAAAATGTTGGAAGCAGCTGCGGAGAATGGAGACTCGTCATCCAACGTCACTCCAGGCTCCACTACAGCTGAAGTAAGAGATGTCTTGGTGCTGATCAGCCCACATTGCTTTGTAGGCCAGTCTCCCAAGGATGGCTGGTATAGCAGAGCAAGGTGGCACTGGACAAGCAAGCTCACTCTTTTCTAGCAGCTGGCTGAAGGGAGACTCTCTCAGTTGTGCAGCTGTCAGGTCAAACCAGGGGATGGTTCTGGGAAGAGAAAACAAGTGGAAACATTTATGGACAATAACAGTCTGAAGCAGCTTGCTAATAATTTAACAAATAATGGTTTTCTTCAGTGTCTGACTACGAGTCTCTTTCTTGGGTCTTTGAGAAACAATCAGGCTCAGAGACTTGAATCTAAAGTGTTCCAGGCATTACTCTGCCATGCAGAGAAAAACTGAGCCTAATGGCTCTAGAACAATCCTGCACAAGCAGGAGTCCTTTCCCTCAAGCAGTGTTCCCCTGACTTAACATCCTCAGTAGTCTAGTCCATGAACTACCATAAGTTCATTACCCATTAGAAATGTCCTCTCTAGATATTCCCATAGGATTTTCTTTTCCTGCATCCAATGCCCCAGTCCTGGTCAGTGGCTTCAGACAACCTAATAAGTAGCCAAACAGGAACCAGGGACAAAATAACTCAGGGATAATAGCCCAGGTCTTTTATTGCTAATACATCATCTAAGGCAATCTTCCCTGGCAGGAATGTGGTCCTAAGGGCAACACACAGTTCAGCACCATCTGACCCAACAAGACAGCCCATGCTTCAGCTATGGGATGAGGCAAGTTTCAGAGCAAAGAGGAAGCTTGGACAAGCAGTACCTCAGCATTCAACCCTCTACTTACTACTCTTGAGTCACTGAAGAGGCAAAACCTCTTGCACACAAACCGTGGGCAGGAAGTTTTCTGCTCTGCACAGATGGGGCAACGTGGAGGAAAACAGAGGTCATCGAGTAATTCCAGCACCTTCTGGTGAGGCAGGCTCTGCCACGTGCTGCTGTTCAGGGCTGTGTAGAAAATGGCCACCAGCCATACAGCATTGACTCTTGTTTTCCCTGCAGGACAAACAAAATCAAACGTCAATTACCAGTCTGCACACAGGTGTGAAGAGATATTCACATCTCCCACTCCTGTGACGAATTGCACTGGCAATCAATCAGAGCTGGTTTATTTGAAACCTCTGATCTAGGATCATTTTAGGTGAGGGATGCTGAAATTAGTAGTAACAAGTCTAGTACAGCTTGTCTTTTCTGTCGCTCATTCTCATCAAGTAAACAGGAGTCCTTTACAGGCTGCATATAAAGTCATATAACCATTCAGCCCTCATGGCATGATGAGCACTGCAGCTGCTTTAAGAGCATTCAGCAACACAAGAATTAGAAGTGCATGCAGAAGTGTATAATGAAATTGCGATGGACAGAGGTAGCAGCTGGCAATAGGAACAGCACATCCATGGAAACAGAAGTTCTGCTTGAGGGAAGAGAAAAAGATTTTGGACCATGTTCTTGCTCAGAAAGTGTATCTCAGCTCCTGCTCACTGATTTAGCCTCAGAGCTACTACTGTTTCATGAAGGGAAATGGTAGCTCTTTAGAAACTGGTGGCAGGTACATGGAAAGCTGTGCTCCTGAAAGAAGGGGTGACCCCCGGGGCGCTAATCAGAGAAACTGGTGAAGGAGACACATACTGCCTCATTCTGCCCATCCACTTCTCCTGCATGACTACCCCCTTCCATGCACGCTATTTCCACCCCAGCTTTAGCTGTACAGTGGCAGGATTTCTCTAGGAGGGTTTTCTTCCCCATGCTGCACTCCTAACTAACAAAATTTTTGCCAGCCCAGACCCAGCCTTGAATCATACAGGCAGGGGAAGCACCGAGCACAACTCCTCAGAAGAACTGCTACCAAGTTTAAGTAAAAAGAGAGCTTTTACCCCGGGAACGGCAGGGGCACGATGCCTGCACAGCAGCAGGCTCTCGCCGCACCCCTGGGACCGTCCCCTTCGCCCCCCACTCATCGATAGGCTCCAGGAAGAGCACTGGTACCATGGCCTCACCATGGCACTGCAGCAAAGGAGTTGCTTCAACCTGAAGGCAGAGGCAGCCGAAATGAGGGTACCAGGAGAGGGAGAGGGTGCTCCTGGAGAGCCTGGGCTGCGCTGCGGTGGAGCAGGTGCCTGGAGCCAGCGGTGGCTGCACAGCTTGGGTGCGATCGTGGGGTTTTAAGGTCCTGCATTAGGGAAACTCAGAGGAAGTCACAGGGAATATCCCACTGTGCCATCCGTGGCTGAGTGAACAGTTGCTGGGATTCATCCCATTAACGTTTCTTATAACGACTCCTTTCCAATAGCCATCTTAACCAGCTAGAAAGGTTCTTCCTATTTGATGGACCATCATTGCCTTGTGTTAAAGTTAATCTATGGGCCTTAACAGTGCCAATGGGGAGATGACCACAGTAGGATTGTTAATTTTGCCATGTAGTGGTCTGTTTAAAAAAAAAAAGGGGGGAGGGTGTGTGTTAAAATCATCCCTTGCACTTTCTCCCCCAGTGCACATAGGTCATACCACAACTGCAGTGGTACAGGAATGTGTCGAGGTCCAGGTCCCTTCCCACTGCAGGCAGATTCCCTCAAGCAAGGCCTCTCCCATCTTTTCCTCTCCTCTCCCCTCTCCAGCTGGATCCCCACTGCTTGTCTGCCCTCCCTCAGCCCTGCAATCAACAGCCAGCATCACCCAGGTTTAGCTGATGGGGGAGAAACTAAGTTTAGCTGGTAAGGAGGAGGAAGCAGTTATCCTTTGCAGGACCTGCAAAACTTTCATTAGTAAACAGCCTCGCCCGTAGTATGAAGAGCAGCATCATGTTTGGCCCCTCACTGGTCACCTCAGCAGAAAGCCAGGACTGGCCTGACCACAGGGGCTGGGCACCCCCGGGGGTCAGGAGCAGGGGGTATAGGTCATACCCCTGCTCTCAGAGCCCTCAGGAGAGCTACGGCAGCAGCTTAAAGTGAAACACGATGCACTGGGTTTGCTTTTTCAACCGTGGAGACTGCAGGCTGCTTCTTTGCACCTTGTTTCCTGTGCTGTGTCACAACAGGTTATCTTGCAGTGATAATCCGAGGCCCTGGCAGGAGCAGGGTTCCGATGCCAGCATTGTGTTTGATCTGGAGCTCCCTTGACTCCTTTTGATCATGTTTTCAGGTTTATAGCCACGAAGTCTACAACTTCCTCTACACCAACAAAAAGCTGAAACTCTAAAGTGTTCCTGTGACTCCAGCAGTTGGGGACTTGGGGAAGTGACCAGCTGTGACAAGGTTTGCAATGACGTTTCACAATAAAACTGTGAGAGGCAATAAGAGCTGTGCTCCTGCACAGCTGCGGCTCAGCCAGAGCATGGGCGCTGTGCTTGTCCCGTGAGGTCCCAAACGGCAGCACGTCCAGCTCTGAAATGACATGGTCCGTTTTACCTGAGGAGAGGGACGGTGGTGACGAGGCTGTACACAATGCAGGGTTTCTGGATGGCAGGCTGAACGATGGAGCAGGCGGACAGCACATGTGATGGGAGGCAGCAGAGGAATGCAACGTCTGCCCAGGCCACCAGCTGAACGTTGTACAATCATGCAAGCCACTGCTTCTGCAGGTCTGCTGCAGTAAGCAAGGAGAAAGGGACTCAAGAGCCCACAGAACCAGCACAGGTGACCGACCAGCAGCTCCAGGCACTGGCAGCGCGGTTACCTGTGCTCTGCCACATGCAGGTGAAACACAAACCACCACTCCCAGGCTGGGACCGCTGGCTACCTGCCCAAAGTGGCATGGAGAGACTTTGGCTGCTGCCCATCACCATTCCTACATGGCAAAGGGCAGCAGCAGAGCAACACAGAGCAGGCAGGCTCTCTGCCAGGAATAAACATGCAGAGAGCTCAGCTGCCTCAGCTGCCTGGCCCCAGTTCATGCAGGCTGATTTAAAGCCTTTAGCTGAAACAGCCAAGCCTTAGGATCTGGCTAGTTTTCAAGATCTATAAAAAGCCATTTAATAATCCCTGCTTCCTCTCTGCCCTGAGATGATTAGAAAGAAGATTTTATTGTTCCAAGCATCTCCCCGGAGGACCGTTCTCCCCATTTATCTTGTTTTATGTAAGAGTTTACAGGGCAGTTGACAGTTTGTCTGCAAACAGTTGCTGTAATGCTGCAGGCTGATCTCCTCTCCTGGCTTGCTGGGCATTCAGAGCCCAGTGAGAAGCTTCTCTGCTACAACTGACTCTGCAGCCATGGAACAAGGAGAGGGACATCTCCGTTTCAGCACTGCTGCTCATCTGGGGAGATGTTTGCTCTGTTGGGTGAACATTTAACAACCTGGAGTCTCAGTCACCGACCAGGCTGTTGGCAAATGACAAGGAGAATTTTGAAGAGCCACAAAAATGCAGGGGACTAAAATAAAATGGGCCTTAAATTAGCCAGCGTTCAAAGAACAGGGTTAATGTCTCCACTGCACTCAGATGGGACTGGTAAAAAAAAAACAAACAACTAAATTAATGTTTGGTGGACAGTGGGTTTCCAAACAAATAAAAATCTTTTCTACAACAGCACCTTCTGCTTCCCAATAAAAAAAAATGGAGTTTCCATACCTTCAATATTTTTGGCAGAAAAACATTATCTAGTGAGTTCTGCCTGAAGTGCTATGAAAAAAGTGCAGCTAAAAGTCCACATAAGTGCAGTCCCAATTCCAGGTGCAGGCTGGGGAGCACTTACCCAGGCTCTCAGGGCATCTGGTGGAAACAGGGATACTGGGGCACGGAGCCCAGCTCAGCGTCAGGAGTGCTCGGGCCAGCTGCTTCCCAAGGTGGCCCCTGCCGATAATCCCAACCTTCAGGCCGTGGCTGTCCCCCAGAGGAAGTCGGCAAACCCGTCTCAGTCCCACTCTGCCTGGGGAAGCAGAGAAACTGGCATCAGCCCAGCATGAGCCACAGTTTCCCCAGACCACGTGTGGTCCTGCCCTTCCAGGAAGAGTCCCATGCCACGTATCCAGATAGCCCATCCCAACCCCACTCCTTGCATCCAGTCCAACTCACGCCCCTGCTCTCCAATGGGATTGCCAGAGAGGCAGAGGCTGATGGCTGCAGCCTGGCATGCACAGCGTCCATGGGACTAGACCCCAGGGAGCATGGTGTCCCCATCCCAAAACATACCACCCATGCTGAGGCTAACTGGTTGCTAACTGTAAAGCAGCTCAGCAATTAAGAGCTGATACCTGGCAGACACATCAACCCACACGATGGCCAAGCTCAGGAGCAAGTCAGCATGAGGAGGGTAGTCTAGTGATAGCAGAGGCTGCTGCTGAGAAGGCAGCACATGCTAGTGGAGGACGATTGGCTCATTATAAATCATATAGACTAGTGCCAGGAACAAGTCACAAGCATTGGGCACTACAAGGTTTCTGGGATGAAACCCTGATTTGATGCTAAAGACAATCTCCATTCCCTGGTTTTCTCAGGGGAAAACTAGTCATAGAATCATAGAATCATAGAATCGTTAAGGTTGGAAAAGACCCTTAAGATCATCGAGTCCAACCGTTAACCTAGCACTGCCAGGTCCACCACTAAACCATGTCCTCGAGCACTGCATCTGCCCTTTTAAATACCTCCAGGGATGGAGACTCAACCACTTCCCTGGGCAGCCTGATCCAATGCCTGACTACCCTTTCGGTGAAGAAGTTTTTCCTAATATCCAACCTAAACTTCCCCTGGCGCAGCTTGAGGCCATTTCCTCTCGTCCTATCACTTGTTACTTGGGAGAAAAGACCGACCCCCACCTGGCTCCAGCCTCCTTTCAGGTAGTTGTAGAGAGCAATAACGTCTCCCCTCAGCCTCCTCTTCTCCAGGCTAAACAACCCCAGTTCCCTCAGCCGCTCCTCATCAGACTTGTGCTCTAGACCCTTCACCAACTTCGTTGCCCTTCTTTGGACATGCTCCAGCACCTTGATGTCCTTCTTGTAGTGAGGGGCCCAAAACTGAACACAGTATTTGAGATGTGGCCTCACCAGTGCCGAGTACAGGGGCACTATCACCTCCCTGGTCCTGCTGGCCACACTATTCCTGATACACGCCAG